AGCCAGGGCTTCATTTATCATTTAAAATCAGGATGGTCCTATACACTGATGTGTTTTTCTACCAACTCGTGTGATGGACATCATTATATATCGGGACAGCGCCCAAGTCATCGTTTAAGATGGAGATGGGATCACCGATCATATTGATCCATTTAGGATTGGTATCATAATTAGAGATCAGGCCAGGGCTTCATTGATCCATTTTGGAACAGTGTTGGTATAATATGGACGACTCATTTTTCAACTAACTCGGCTCTGTTAAGGATGCCACAATACATTGAAATCAAGACTAAATCTCACCTGAAACAAGTGTTTTCATAGGCATCTTGGCTTGGGCATCATCACAAATCGGGAAGGGGCTGAGTTAGCATTTGGTTATGATCTTTGGTCTTGTCACGATGGGTAATGATCTTTGGGAATGATCAGTTAAGCATTCCCCAATATATCGTCCCCTTGGGGTATGATCTTTGGTCTTATCACGATGACACGTTTTCTACAAACTCATGGATTGGGATTATTATTGATCGGGTCAAGGCCAAGCTTATCATTTCAATCAGGATGGGATGACCGAATATACCGACTCCTTTCGAAATGAGTATATGGATGGCCCACTTTTCTACCAACTTGCCTCAGGCATGCCTCGCTTCCAACAAATCTTCTCAAAGAGAAATTCGCTAGTTTCAAGCTTGACCTCATCATTAAAACCTCCAAGAAAACTTCTTACCAAACCTTAATCCGACCATCCGTGAACATCTTTTTTCTATCAATGCCATAGTCATTTAAACTCAGAACAACATCTCCGCTCAAATATGTTTTCTAATTGGATTAATGGGATGGGCACCATTAGAGATCGGACAAGACCTCAGTTATCATTAAAAATCGGTATGCGATTTGCCCAATATATCGGCTCCCGTACGAACTATGCTAGATTTATCTGGCGGAGCAATTTTTCTTATAACTCTTTGGCAGGCATTATTAGAGATCCGGACATGATCCTATACAATCCAAAATAATGATGGGATTACCCAATATACTAACTTGTTTACGAACCTAACCCTCCCAAATTTCTCGTGGTAATTGTCAACAATGTGAAACTTGGTTAGGACAACATGTCGTATGAAACTGAAGTTTTCCCTATACCAACTTGTGGTATAGACATCGTTAGAGATCGGGACAGCGCTAGAGTCATTGTTTAAAAGCAAGATGGGATCACCAAATATATTGACATTTTGGAACAGTGTTTGTATCATATGGATGACACATTTTTTGACTTGGCTCAATTTTGGACACCAAAATCTGTTGAATGCGAGACTACATATTGGCTCAAGTAAGTGCTTTCATAGACATCCTGGGCAGGGCATTATTATATATCGAATGGGACCTGAGTTAGACTTTAAAATCAGAATTAGATTGCCCAATATATTGTCTCCTTAGGAATGATCTTTGGTCTTATAACGCTGACCCGTTTTCTTCTAACTCATGGGTTGGGCATTATTAGAGATCGGTTTAAGGCCAGAGTTTTCATTTAAATCAGGATGGGATAATCGAATATACTAACTCCTTTCGAAATGGTGATATGGCTGACTCGTTTTTCTACCTACTTTCCTCAGTTAGGAACATCTCCCCATTTTGGACAATCAAATATGTATTCTAATTCGAAACATGGGATGGGCGCCATTTTAAATAGACAATGCCGCATTTATCACTAAAATCGGGATGAAATTGCCCCGTATATCAGCTCCCATACAAGCTATGTTGGACTTATAAGCCAAGTCATTTTTCTTATAACTCTTTGGTTGGGCATTATTAGAAATCGGGCCATGATCATAGATCATTCAAAATGATGGGATTACCAAAACACTGTATAGTTTAGGAACTGGCCACTTCCAAATTTCTCGAGGCTGTTGTGACCAATGTCGAACTTGTGGTAGGACTACATCCCAGCTTAAATGATTTTTTTAGTAGTAAGTGTGGGCTACTTATTATTAGAGATCGGGCCTGGTCTTGTATTATCATTTAGAATTGGTATGGTCATATAGGACTAACCTGTATTTCTACCAACTCGCAAGATGGTCATTTTTAGACATCAGGACAGGGCCTAAGTCATCGTATAAAATTGAGATGGGATCGCCCAATATATTGACTCGTTTAGGAAAGGTGCTGGTAGTACTGACTCCTGGACTTAGTTATGGATGCCACAATTGATTGATGGTCCAATAAGGCTGACCCGTTAGGGTGCTAGTAGTACTGACTCCTTTGGAAACGATGATGTCCAATAAGGCTGACCCATTTTTCTACTAACTTGCCTTAGTTATGAATGTGTCGGTCCCAGCGAGCCTTCTCAAATGGAAACTTGATCGCTCAAGTATGGTGATGTCATTAAATCCTCCAAAGATAAATATTTAGCTTTCCAGGCATCCAACCAACTTTCCGCCCTCTCTAAGATTTGTTTCCATATTATGCCATAATTTGAAGCACCTCTTGTCGGCATTCCCAAATAGGTGAAAGGGAGCTCAACAATTCTGCACTCAAGAGCATCAGCACATTCCGCTATAACATCCCTCCCCACCTCTCCAATTTCAATTATTGTGCTTTTTGGAAGCCCTATTAGCATTTGAAAATTTGCCAATACCATTCTTAAGTTCAGCATCTGTTCCACCGTAGCATCCAAAAAGATCAAGGAGTCATCTACATACTGCAGATCGGTAATGCAAGGCCCATCCCTTCTAGCCTTTCCCATAATCGGGCCCATCTGTCCACTTCTCTTTATTAAAATATTCAAAATCTCCGTAACCATAACAAATAGCAAAGATATCGGTTCTCCTTGTCTTAGACCCCTAGAAGCTTGAAAGAAATTTGAGGATATGTCATTTATGAGAATTGAGAGTGAGACTGTGGACACGCATGCATGAATGCACCCAAGACCTCCACTTTTCCCAAAATCCCATCAGAATTTGAATTTCTTCTAAGAATCCCCATTCCATGTGATCATAAGCCTTCTAGATGTCAAACTTACACACCAATCCTGGTTTGCCACTTCACGATCTAGAGTCAATGCATTCACTTACCACTAGGACTCCATCGAAAATTTGTCCTCCTTCCTCAAAGGGCATCTGATATTCCCCTACTACCCCATGTAATATTGACCTCAATCTCTTGCATAACAATTTAGCCAATAACTTATAAGGGCTGCTAATTAAGTTTATTGGCCGTCCTTTAAATCCATTGCTCCATTTTTTCTTTTGGAACTAGGGATATAAAAGTAGCATTAGCCATCTTCTCCAAAAGCTCTTCTCTCTATGAAACTCCTAAAACATTTGATTGAAGTCTCTCTCCCAATCACCAATGTAGAGAAATCTATCTAGTCTTCTTAGGATTGGAGGATCTTGCCCATTTTTCCAGGTGAACCTTCATTGTTGTTTTCAGCTTTTGGCTTAGCACCTACGTTAACCCCCTTTTCGGGAGTTGTCACCTTCCTCTCTTCCAGCTTCTCAATTCCAACAGAGTCTAGATCTTCTGAACTCAGTGAGGTTGCATAGCCCAAATCGCATCGATCCTCTGCAGACTTCATATTCATAACCCCCAACTCAGAGTGAACATCAATTCCGTCGGATCCCCTACTCACCTGAGAATTACAGCCAGCATTGCCAAACAGAGTAGAAAAAGGACTATTGTTGAGAGTCTCTTCTGTATCGCCAATAAGCCTCTTCTTGCCATGCTTGTCAAACCTAGCGATTACCCATACCCAACTCTCTTCCTCTCCTTTTCTAATCTCATTCGAGGCCTTCTTCCTTACCACTCCCTTTCTTTTTCAGATTTGAATTTTTAGGTCTTAGAAACTTCCACTTGTCTTCTTTTCTACTCCTGGACTGAAACCCGTTCATGTCATTTTTCCAGTCGTTGCTCACATCTTGAGAACCAAACAGACCTCCTTTTGCTCGAGACAAAAATTTCAGGCCATACTCCGTATCTGCTAAATATGACGGAAGGATTGAACCACCAATCTTATCGTCACCCTCGAACCCTTGTAAAACTCCTTCAACTGTAGTCTCTGATTCACTGGTGGCACATCCTTGATATCTCTCATTCTTCTTGCCTTCTTCCCTCCCTCCTCTGGGATCTCCTGTTGCATCTCCTCTGCCTTCTTCGATCCTCTCTGATGAAGACACGGCACAATTGGAAATTGTGTATGAATCGGCCCAATTACTTGAGTTTATCAAAGGCCCAAACATCATGTTGCTACTAGAGCACTTAAATGAATTAATAGCCCCCTTTCGTCCATTCTTTTGAACCGCTGGCAGACCAGCTGGTTCGCTTAAAAATATTTCAGTCCTCTTCTCTTAAAATGGTGGACCCCACTCACTAGCCGACTCAGCCCCTACAATTGCTACTTTCCCATGCAAACCTCTTTTTTTATTAATATCATTCATTCCCCCTTTTGCATTCGACTCTGAAATTCGAAACATCTCCCCCAAAAGTCTTCCCAGCTTCCTTCCCAACCTCCACTTGTAACCCCACCAATTATAAGTACCATATGACAACCTTTATATATGTCATCATGCTTTCTTAGCCTTGTCCCAACTATGCGGGTAATACTAATATATGCAAATATATAAAATAATATATGACAAACATATATGTTTCACATTCAAACTTCTGAACATGAGACACGTAGCAGGTTACTAAGACCTACATTGAGTATACTCTCATTTCTACTTCTCCCAACTAGGTCCTATACCCCTTTCTTCCTCAGAAAAATGAAAAACTTATTTACGATTTTAGATCAAGTTAAATTCATTATTGCAAAGATTTATTAGATATCTTGAGTCTGATCAAGTTTGCAGCATAGTCTGCGATTCTAGATACAATATACCTCAGTTAATAACAATTCTAAACTCATGGTGCATAGTCGATGATAAAAACTTCTCACAATTATTGAATAAATTGAAATTTAAAATTCGTAGGCAAACTAATCGGTCTCTTAGCTCTTAAGCATTACAACTTACCGGAAAATTCTCCTTTACATCCCGCAACTGTTGTGTGCTGTCAGTAAATGCAGAAGCAAGCTCATTGTTGGAGAAGAACTTGACATATGAAACAACTTTCTTGTGCCCATCAAAAAGGAGTGATTGGTGATGTTTCTCATATCACAATAGTGAATGTGAGGCTTTATAGAACCAACCTGCAAAATACCAAAAGATCCCACAATTCAAATATAGATTTTATGATCTAGATTCAAAATAAGAAAAAAATAAGACAAAGCTGAGGGCTCAATAAGAGCTAGGTGGAGAAGGATGGGATGGATAATATAATTGAGAAAACCATATGTTTCAGCACTCAACAGTGAACTTGGAAAGACTATATTCAATTGGATAAAAGTAGAAATAAATGATGCATTGTAAACATTAGTGAAAACCATGATACAAAGTAAAACAACCGGACAGACTTGACAGTTTGTGAAAGCATAGCAGATTATAACTTGTAATCTGAAGTCAACAAAGCCTTAATTTCAAATGTTTATGGTCATTGGTCAGCTATGTAAATCCTATTCTGCCATTTTACTCTATTAAAAGTCATCTTTTGCCAGATTATGACTTGTAAGTCATTAGATCAATTCGTATGACTTAAATCCATGTCTTCTTTGGCCTTCTCTTTGTTGTTTTAGATCTCCTCAATTGTGTAGTTATTGCTTGGTAATGTACATGGAGAAACCATCTTAAAATCCATGTCTTCTTTTAAGGTTTGACCTTGTGTTTGCTCTTTTAGATCTCCTCAATGCTGTAGTTATTTATTGGTTGTCAATGTACATGGAGGAACCATCTTAGTCAACTTTCCCTTGTCAGCTATTGGAGCTATTTGTAAATCCTCTGTCTCTATTCTTCTTAGTTTCCACTCATCCACCCTAGAACAATCATCTTAGCTATGCCTATTTCTGGTTGTATTTTTCTTCACTGCCAACATTCTGTTCCATATAAAATTGATGGTCTAAATCCATCTTTAAAAACTTTCCTTTTGTCTCGTTAGTGTATGCTGGCTGGTTATCTGATAAAACTTTCCTTTTAAAACCTCTAGCTGTATTTTTCTTCACTAACCTATATTTCTAATTTCCTGCTGTAGTCTTGAAGTTGAATTAGCTTCACATTACCCCTATTTTCTTTTCTAATGAGCATATTTAAGTTATTAACCATTAGGGTCATTGGCATTTTCTATTTGGAAGAAAGTAAGTTCTACTTCTAAGTTCATTCATTTGCTTGTTTATACAGCTAGAGGTTCCAAAAGAGTTGATATCATCATCACAGCTGCAAGAATTAAGGATGCAACAGAAGCCATCATTTATCCAGTTAAATCAGGATGGAGACACTACAATTGTGATTGATGAAGAAACATGCATCACACAGCACCGCCTTTCCAATGGGATACCTGTAAATTACAAGGTGGTCTCTCCCCATCTTCACTTCTCCCCTGAAAAAAGAAAATAATTTTATATGGAACTGCTTATAGATAGTATAACTCAATACACTTATTAATTTTACGGAGACTTAAGATCCATTTCTGTACAAGTGCCCATTATATTAATTTATTTTTCGTAATATCAACTGGTGTATCAAACTCATAAATGCTTGTCTGTCTAATAGGTGAGCCATTAAGCAAACTGGATGGTTTACCCAAATAAATTTTGGGTTTCACTCCAACGTCTAGAAAGTAGTAAAATCCTCATTTCTCACAGAAAAAAAAATATATATCAATTTATATTACACAATAGATTGGATCTCAAATTTGATAATGGGACTACCCTATGATATATATATATATATTCTGATGAATATCTATGGATCTCCTTTCAATTTATATTACACAATAGATTGGATCTCAAATTTGATAATGGGACTACCCTATGCTTCTGCTAATTTGGTGAAGTGGCAGTCATCTACTTCTCTGGACATTTAACAATTGAATCATGAATTGCACCTTTTGTCATAGTCCAGTTATATTTTATATATATATCTTGTCGGTCTTTTTTATGAATTGGATGAGAAAACAATTGAAGAAGCAATTAGGGTTTTTCTTTTTTATTTAACAATGGCGTGAGTAGATTGAAGGTTTAGTCCTCTAGTGAATATTCTGATGAGTTAATAACCAAAGCAAACGTGCTGATGAGATGGGGTCTGGTTCTCACCTTCTTTTCCTTGCCTGACTTGAGAAAGATAAGCTCTACAAGCCTTTTGAAGCAGGCACACGGACACCAACGGGCTCTTGTGAAAGGAGAAGAAGAAGAAGAAGAAGAAATTTAAAGATGAGGAGGAGGAAGGAAGGAAATCATCGAAGAACCCTAATAACCAAAGCAAACGTGCTGAACTGCTGATGAGATGGGGTCTGGTTCTCACCTTCTTTTCCTTGCCTGTCTTGAGAACGATCAGCTCTACCAAGCCTTTTGAAGCAGCAACACGGACACCAACGGGCTCTTAGAAGAAGAAGAAATTTAAAGAAGAGGAGGAGGAAGTAAGGAAATGATCGAAGAACAACGGGCTCTTGTGAAAGGAGAAGAAGAAATTTAAAGATGAGGAGGAGGAAGGAAATGATCGAAGAACACCCCGAACGATCAGCTCTACCAAGCCTTTTGAAGCAGCAACACGGACACCAACGGGCTCTTAGGAAAGGAGATGTGAAAGGAGAAGAAGAAATTTAAAGATGAGGAGGAGGAAGGAAATGATCGAAGAACACCCCCCCCCCCCCCGAATATAGCGGATCAGAAGAAATGATCGAAGATTTAGCGGATAAAAGATTAAAAGATTTGCGAGATACGCATATCGAAGGAGCAAAAGATTTTGGGCGAAAAGATTTGCCGAACGCGCCCCAAATCTTTTAAAGCCGTTGAGCATTTGTTTGTCCGACCCAAATACTTTATACTTTTCGGTTCTTAAACCGTTGACAACGGTAATATGATTCTTGAAAATCAATGTTTTAAGAAAAGGAAAATTCAAACTTTAGTACTGAAGACACCTTAGGGTTTAAGACATCCAATTTGAACGAGAATAAAAAATATACCATTATAAAAATAAAAATTATCAATAATCATAACATTGATAACTAGGGATGCAAACAATCAGATCAGATTCGAATAAGACTATATTCGAATCTAATCCGACATTATTTATTGCAGATTCGATCCGATCAGATCTGATAGACATAGATATGAATTCGAATCCGATTGGAAAGTCAGATATTCGGATCTGATCCGATCAGATTTTTTCTTTAAAAATAATAAATTATTAAAATAAAAATAAAATATACCAATTTATGTAAAAAATAAAAATATAATTATTTTTAAATTATTTTCATCATATATATATACATGTTTTTTATAAAAAAAATAAACAATATAACAAATTTACAAAAATATAATATAAATAAATATATATATATATATATAAAACAGATATATCGAATCAGATAAGGAATGATTCAAATTCGATCCGATTATCATATATATTTTCCATTAGGAAAATACTCCCAATGAACAGCATACCTCACACTAAATTTAGAGGGCATACTTTTATATATGTTATCTTTCACGGGAAGATACTTCCAATGAACAGCTGAGATTTATAGTGAAGTTGAAGTTGGTGTGAGAGTTACTTTCTAAGAAGCAAATCTGATTACTTACAAATTTCACATCGGTTCTATATTGGATTATTTAAAATGTTGGAAGAGTGGTCATAGGCCCTCATTTACTAATCCTCAACATGTTAGAGAATATAATGGTCATGTGACAAGTCATATGTTGATGGAGAACAAATTATCTCTATATTACACTCTCACACACACAACTAAGTTTTTCCTTTGTATTATTATTTATCTAGTTTTATAAAAAAAAAATATTCTTTTTGGATTGTTTTCTGCACAAGTATTTTTGCATAGAGACAAAGATACAAATAGGATCAAATTTAAGAATTGAGCTTGACTAGGATCTGATCCATTTGCACCCTTAGAGACGAACACAAAGTTTGGATCCGAATAAGGATGTCAATGGACCGGTTTTGGGCTGGACCCCATCCGGTCCAAAATCAATTTGGATGGATTGGAGAGGCCAACAACACATATTGGATTGGACCAATCTAGTCCTAAATATTTATTAGATTGGATTGGATTTGGTCCATCCATAATGAGTTTATATTGGATTGGTTTGGATTAAGCGAATATCTGGAATATCTGGTTCATTGATATAAGATAACAATGTTGGTGTCAATGGACCAAAACCTGGTTGAAACCAATCTAAATTAAAACGAGTTTGAAGAGATTGAATAGTCCAGACATTGAATTGGACTGGTCCAAAATATTCATTGGATTGGACTGGCCCTGATCTATTTGTAATGGACTCACACTGGACTGGATTGAATTGGACCAAATCTAATTCAATATACACCCCTAGATCCTAATGGACATAAAATTGATCAATCAAATATCAATAGATCCGAATTTGTTGGACTCACATCGTTTGTCATCGGGGGATAAACGCAAAAAAAAAAAAAAACTTGCGTGGTATTGGGTCCAAACAATTTACAAGGCCCAAGTCATCACATGTGAATACACATATTGCAGTTTAAAACTACATTTTCCACCTCTTATTGCATGGAAGCTATTGCAGTTTAAACTCAGTTCGGAAGGAGTACAAATACAAATATGCAGGGTGCAAAATTTTGTATTTTGTATTATTTTGCATGTATTTTTACTGTATATATTTGTATTTGTACTTTTTCCAAATGGAGCCTTTGATTGCAAATTGCAATGCAGATTTTATAACGCATTAATGTAAATGCAAACAAGTATAAATAGGAAGAAGTAAAATACGAACTAAGATGATGTTGTCCCCACCTTAAATGCAAGAGAATGGAAGTACGAGGATGTTTATCTGTTTAGGAGTGAGGTTAGAAGAAAGATGATGCCGTCCCTAATTTATATGAGAGAGAATTAAGATGGGTAGAAGGTGATGCAAATTTTGCACTGCCAATGAGTACAAATAAGACACAAAAAATGCAAATTTATCTTAAATAAGAGTGCAAATCATGATTACAAAAAATTGCATTAAAAAAGAGAGTCTTAAAACACTTACTGTATGTGTAAAATGGGTGAAGCAAGTAAAACAAGCACCTGAGCACAGACAACTACAATTTCATCCCATTATCAAGGCCAAGATCTAGCTTGTTAGGCCCAATAGCCAATGTAAGCCCAACATTGTTTTGGTTAATACAATTCCCACGTCACAATTCAATCCAAATGTGTTTAAAACTTTACATATTATACTTTATCAAGTGTAAAACAAGGTATAGTGATAATATTTTGTAAAAAAAAAAATGCTAGCAAGCAACGAACTATGCAACTCTTGGATCCTTCGCCCTAAAGACATGGTGGGACCCCGTGAAAGGACCATGTCTACAGGGTGAAAGATGACGAAAAGTTATATAAACTATGAACTAGTTCATTTCTAACATATCACTATGAGGCATTTACTTGCCTAAGAGATAAGAGCAGCTCAAAACTGATAAAAGAATGGGCCTTATAGAATTTTCTAACATGAATCATTGAGCATATGGGCAGGGCATGGACATAATTTTATGGCCCATTTATTGTATAAGTAGGGACTAGGGATGCCAATTTGTTGGGCTTAACCTGAATCTCGCGTAACCCTATTTGAACCGGGTAATCAAGTTGGTTCATTGGAGATAGTTGTTAGCGCAGATGTCTCGCTTTTACAATCACATCTTTTTTCTTGTTTTTTTGAGTAAAACATAGGGGTACTGATCTATTCCCAACAAAATGCCCCAATACTGTCTCGACAAGCTACTGCAGTAGCATATTGGGGATTAGGGGTGGCCTTTTTTATGAATTATTCAATCTCAGTTCTGTTTAAATCAAGCTTTGAGTCGAGTTTGAATCCAATAAAATTTGATTTGTGAGATTTATAAGCTTAATCGAATTTTTACATACATACATATATACATGTAACTAAATAATAAATATAAAAATATTATATATAATAACTAATTTTTGTAATTCTTAAATTTTTATATATCAAATAAAAAATAATTTCTTATATCTATAATTTTGTAAGCTTTTGATTCAAGTCGAATTTGACCTCCAATCTCTACCTCGAATCAATCTCAAGCCTTATAGTTTATTAACGAGCTGAGCTCAATTAGCTAAATATTTGGCTCAACTCAGCTTGAGTCCACCCCTATTGGACTCAATGTGCAGGTGCAGTGACTAGTTGGGATTTGTTGAAAGCATTTTGTTGATAGCATATTGAACCAAGGTTCAAAAGTATCGACATTGCCAATACACGGTGCTTTTTTTAGTTTTTCTTTTTCTTTTTTTTCTTTTTGAAATTAGTTCAGAAGGGCCGGTTTAAGACCCGACTATCCTCTGAACCAGTGGCTGACCCGATACAACTCCTGTACGGACATATCGGGAAGCCACCAACACAATACATATCAATATTTTGAACCTTTTATTGAACTCAAAAGACAAAAAACTATAGAAGTAAATATCCCGTACTTTGGGATAGTTATACTTAGGTTCTTAAACTTATATTTACAAAAGAGGTCCTCCCTTCTTGTGTTTTAAACATTATACTTGATTAATATTTTCTTTTAAAATTAAAATTGTGGGTGTTAGATATAGCTACATACATTTAGTTAATTGACCAAGTCTTTACTCTAGGTTGAAAGGCGGCCACCTTAAATTTTTTTAACGATTATCAAATGAAGAGTAAATAATGACAAAGGAGGACAAAGCCTATCTTGCCCTAAAACCTGATATTATAAACTCAACCCACGCAAATATAACAAAAGCTTAGAAGAGAACAATGAAAACTCAATCATATAAAGAATTCCCATGTAGTCTATATATATATTGAAGGGCTACACAAAGGGGTAGCCCATCCCTCAACCCATAACCCCCCATCCGAGGTGCAGGTGACCAGCAGAGACCTTATCAACCCATTGGTTGGTACTTTGCGCAATTCCCATGTGGTCTTGCCTTAATAGGTTTGTGAGATATTTATGGAGATATATCCCCCTTCAAGACATGTATTTAGAAGATATTGATAAATACAACAAGAAATTTCAGGTTTGGGTTGGACCAGATTGCCCAAGACCTCAAATCTAAACCAACTCTAAATTGGATTCATATCATTAAGCCCTAACCCTAATCTAAACTTCAATCCAAGTTGCAGATTTATGTAGGATAGTTGTATAAAGGTCATTTGGAATCTTTTTAAGGTACTTTCTTCAATAATGGTTGTCTGTGAATTGTGATATTCTTATAAACAAGGTTTTTAAAATTGAACTGGATAGCAAACTGATTAGGGGTCCAGTTCAGGGCCGAACAGCTTGACTATTCAAACCAAACGGATGGCCCGTTCTAACAAAAAAATAAACAAAATAAAAAAAGACCAAACTATTGAACAGTTTGACCACCCGGCTGGGTCAGCGGTTTACTGATCAAATCAATGTTTTTTGGTGAAATAACGGTTCTGGAGTAAAACAGAATCAGTCATTTTGACCAATTCCTGATTTTTCCGGTCCAATCCGATTTTGAAAACCATGCTAATAAGTGAATAAGAGGAACTCGTAGAGACTAGGATTGTCTTATTCTGCCTAAATTTTTCCTGTTGTAGAAGTAGTAGTAGTAGTAATAGACCCTCAACAAGAACCTATATTAACCGAAAGTTAGAATTATGGGGTAGTTGGCTAGTCCGTTGTCTGTTTTTAAATTCTACATTGCTAACTTTGATTTGCCAATTGGGTTGATTGGAGATTTGAATGAAGTTTCTTGGAATGAGGATGATTGTTTTGATATTATCTAGTTTGGTTTCTGTTTCTAATTTTAAAAAGAAAAATTGCAAATAAGAGAACTACAAAATTTCTTAAATTTTCGTTAACTACATGAGACTTGTTGAACTTAGAATCATTAGAGGCTCTTCTACCAATAATCATGTGCACTCACCTAGTGTGCCTCAAGAGATCCGACCTCTTTCTTTGGTGGACTTAAAAAGAGGCAATATTTGGCAATTCTTTCGAATAGGCTTTGATAAGATTGGAATACCGAAAACCAGTCTTCCTTTGTTTGGTAATCAAAACTAGTAAAACGAGAAGACGCATGCATGGAAAGACCCGAAAATTTTAAAAATGTCGAATTTTGAAAAGCTTTAAATAATTGTTTTTTTTTTTTTTGCATGACAAATAACCTATAAATACGTTTTTAAAGGTGAAGCCCTCCCAAACGGGTAACTTTTTCAACTCAATTCAGTCAATACAGCCCAATCAAAGGTGAAGCCCTCCGAAACGGTTTCAGAATCTATGACACATTAGATTCTGTTATCTTTGAATCATACTCATTCTCTGATTGGATCTTCATTGGATATTTCTCAATCAATTCCTTGGTACATGTTTTTTGGATGTTTCCTTTACCCTAATTTATTTATAGAAAGGTTTCTGTATCCTCCTCAGGATTCCATTGTATCCTTAAAGGATGAGTCGTCATTAACTGAATTTGAGGCCAACACCCACCGTTTTAGCCTTGGTTTGTATCTCCTAACTCCTAAGGCCTGCTTGTCCAGATAACCAGCAGCCTGCGACGAGGGCATCTCCAACATGGCATTTGAGGACCACATGCCAACCCTGAAAGCTTAGTTCCATGCTTGGCAAGCATAGAAATTAAAGCATCAACTAATTAAGTTGCCCAGGTCTATTAGCTTATATACGTAGCATATCTTCACTAGTTCTGGGATTTTCTAGCTGCTCAGATTGATGAGCTTCACTGGTTCTGGGATCACAGTTGGCTGCCACCTTAGATTTTGCCCAACATCTTCTGGTTCTTTAGGAAGTGGTCTGAACCACCAGCTTAAATTTCTCTAATACATTTTGCAAGGCAAATCCACTTACCATAATGGTTGAACCTGCAAGTCAAAACATATAAATTGTTAGAGAATATAAAGTAAATGAGATATCCATAAAAAAATGTATAAACGTAAGACATTCGAAGAGGCATCATAATTTAACATTTTCATATCAATAAATGAATTCTGCAACTAATAAATTAACCAAAGCAAGCATGGATTTAAACCAAAGAAATTAAATCATGCATTATTTCATATCCATCCATGACGATAACATTACAACAATGCTTAGAGAGACAAAATCCAATGAATACTGCACAAACAAGACAAGGCCAAATCACAGTCCATAAGAAACTCAGAGCTTACCCGATCACTAACAATGGAGATCTACTCTAGTTAGAAGTTGAGATTATATATATATACACCTTTGAAACTTTGTGCGACACTTTTGGAAACAGGTAAGTTACGCTGATATTTCAATTGCTTCTTCCGTTACTTCTTGTTATTACCACTGCTAACAGTGTAATCAAGATTCTCACCGCACCAATACCTATTTTTCCTAATCAAGAATTAAGCTTCGTTTTCCCTTAATCCATTTAGAAATTCATTTTCTATATCCCCATTGACATCTTGATGTATCTCTGGGGGCTTCATGGTTCTCATCTTTATATTCTTACAAGAAAGAACTCATATGATTTTTGTCTTTGATCCAACTTCAAAGGAATGGAATCCAGAATGCCACCAGCTTTGAGATCCTCATCCGCTGATATGTAAAGATGAACAACTACACTCAGAATAAATCTATTTTCTTCCACCGACTTTTTAATCTGCTCAAAGAAAGAAATTCCTTCTGCAATATGTCCATGGTCCACATAACCCCTGAACAACTATCTTGTATTTTGTATGTATTTGCATGGTACATATTTGTATTTGTACTCCTTCCAAATTTAGCCTAAACCACATTCAATCATTTTCCCATGAACCCTTTCAGCCTCCAAAATAAATCCTTATTTCACAAAATCAGAGATTAATTGGTTATAACAAAATGATCAATCCCTCCATTCCACATTACATCCTTCCATTCTCTTTATAGGCATGAAGAAGTGGGGGGCAGGATAAGGAATTGGGATGACAGCCATCTCTTTGCATGGCCTGAAAAAGTCTTTCTACTTCATGATCAAGCCCACCATTGGCACACACATTGATCACAATATTTTATCTTATCTGAATTTCCAGAAAAAGGAAAAAGGAAACAGAAGGATTAAGCACCATGTCAATGGATTCAGTCAGTAAGTAATGTTATTTGGATAGTGAGACACATTTAGTTCAAAGATGTCCCATATTAGGCAATATTATTATAGTACACCTATGGGAAGTATTGTTCATTTCAAACCCAACACAAAATATTCATTTTGAACTCTCTTAATATTAGGATTGAAAAATATGAACCCTACTAAACTTTGGATTAGGCTACAATGAAGTATTGTTCACTTCGACCTTATAAAATAAAGTTAAAAAAATTTTGTTCCAATTCAAGGCTAACTTGAAAATCCAAACCGAAAAACAAATTGGATTGACCTTGAATGGTGAGACATTCAATTTATAGATGTAAAGTTATTTGGATAGTGAGTAAATGATTCAGTCAATAAGTAAAGTTATTTGGATAGTGAGACACATTCAATTAATAGATGTCCCATATTAGGCAACATTATTATTATTAGATAATGCAAAATCCCCTAGAATAAGTAACCATAATGTATCTGGACGTCTTTTAATCTATCATATCTTCTGTTTGTAATGCTTCATGTATCCATCAAAATGCCCAGACATAGTATGGATGACATGAATACAGGAAACAAAGATTTTGACTCTCCATTTCCTAAGATCCAGAACATCGACATGGGTTTGGATATCCTATTTAACATGTTATACCATGTTTCTTTATCTAGTTTTTTAAGACCAATGTTATGGTATGTGGGGGGACATAAGCATAAGAATTTTAAGTGGAAGGAAAGAATGGGAATTGATGAAAGGGGAGAATGGAACTCTCCCTTTTAGATTTGGTAAATATTGTGTTTGACACCAGAACACAGGACATGTATAGGTATAAAGTATCCAATGTTGGTCCCAGCTACTTGGGGTCTTGGGAAGAGTGGACTGGATACAGTCCACTACTAAAGATGAAGGTCATCATTATTGGCTAAGAACCTGATGGACATCAATGGGGAAAGCCTTCCATGCTGTTTTTCAGAGTTTTCAGAGTTTCGGTTGCTGGCTAACACTTTGTCCTCCAGTAAAGATGGAACCGATTTGTCATTTATGTTCCCATTTGCAATATCAATCAGGAACTCTGCTGGTTTCATAGCTATGAGAGAGCAACCATTTGAGGAGAAATACTGCATAGCTTAAGATGCTTTTCCAAAGTACAATGTATCAATGTTTTAAAAACCGACCTGGAAATGGAACCGTTCTAGGCACCGTTTTCCGGTTCGGCAGTTCAACCATTCGGGTTGAATGGTTCGACCCGTGATGTCATAAATAAATTAAAAAAACAAAAAAATATTTATATATAATAAAAAACAACATAAAAATTAAATAAAATACAGAAAATACACAGAAAAATATAGGAAAAAAACAACATATGAAAAAAAATAAAAATATCTAAATATAAAAATAATAAAATACAGAAAATACAAAAAAAAAAATACGAATGGCCAATGCCCAACAGAGTTCAAGAATATCACGCAATCTCTTCCACTCAATCATCCCGGAAGCCTAGCACTTGGTTGTCCGGTCAATAGTCTTCTTTGACCAAAACCTTCTGATAGCATCTCCACTGGGCCAACTTGTTCACCATCCTTGTCAATGAACATCCATTTCTTGAGTGGCTCCATGAAAGCAGTTGCAGTTAGCAAATTCGATTGCAAAGGAATAGAGGTCTTCTCCAAAGCTTCATGAGAAACTGTCAGAAGATCTACAGCTAACACACACCCACCGACTAAGACAACCTCAAATTCTGCAGTGGCTTTCAGCTTCAATGGAGTGGTCACCAGTGCAAATGGTGATTTGGTTCCTTGAAAAATCATAGTATTGCAAAAAAAAAAAAAGAGTTAATTAAAAATCATTGAAATGGCTAAATGAGAGACGATAAAAACTGAAATTTAAAGTTCTGAACTGAATAATGGTGGTTCTGAACTGAACAGTGGTCGCCGGCTCACTTAGTTACCTGAAAAATCACAATGGTCGCTCACAACCGCAGGGAAGATGGTCACCGGAGCCATTCCTTTCAAGATGCGGTTGAGAAAGAGTGAAAGACTCGAAAGTCGAAGCTTTAGTCGCCGGCTGCCACTGCAAATTTGGTCACCAACGGGTTCTTGCTCAAATTCTGGGAAGGGTGGTGTCGGTGTATCGCCGTTATCATCTTCTGTGAATGCCTGAAGGCTTTTGGTTTTGGGTTTGGCAAAACAAAACCCTAAGAGGCTAAGACTTTCGAAGGTAAGAAAGTTAGATATTAGGATATATATGGCATTTTATTTTTGTTTTATTTTTATTTTAAAATAAAAATATATATATATAATATCAAACCGCTAACCGTTGATCGGGTCGATGGTTCGAAAGGCTGGGTCAACGGTTTTTTGACTTTTTCAACATTTTTTCACTAAATAACGATTCGAGGTAAACCCAGAATCGTTCAAATGATCGGTTTCCAGTCTGAATGGTCTGACCGCCCAGGTCAACAACGGTTCGAAAATGTTGCAATGTATTGCCTCTACCCAAGAGAATTAACTTATCGAATTTATTGAACAGTCTGCTTGATGGCTGATGAATTACAGAAAGTAAAACAATGCCATGTTTTTTTTACCTTTGCAATGCTTTGTAGCATTTGAATTATTCCGAGTGCTGTTGTTGAGTCCAGACCTAATGTTGATTCATCTAAGAAAATAAGTGATAAGTTAAGCAGGATTTCATTGCCAATACTTGACACAGCACACTAACTTTTCAACGTAGGTGGAATAGTGCGATTTGAATCCGCGTCTCTATTCAACTAACATGGCAACCGAGCCACCACTTGGTTGGTGACTTGGTTCATTCCAATACAGACCCTTTTTCTTTCACCACCAGAAATCCCCCTAACAAATGCCTTTCCAATTATTGTATTCCGTCACCCGTAACAAAACTGCAATAACTGTTTTGCTTACAATTGATGGTTAAAAACTGCATTAAACCTACCTATTCTGATTTCTGCATGTATAAATGTTCCCTTCCTCGTTCCCCCCTGAGTTTTTGTTTTCCTTTCCTTACCTTTCATTTAACTATGTTTGGTTTGAAAGGAAGAGGGAAACCCGTACTAACCTTTTACAGGTTTCCCTACCATTCCCTTCCTTAGGGGCGTCAATGAACCGGTTTTGGGTTGGACCCTGTCCAAATCAAAATCAATAATTGGACCAGTCCGGACTTAATGGTCCAAAGTATTTATTGGATTGGATTGGACCTGGTCCATCCATAATGGATTTATATTGGATTGTGGGATTGAACCAATATCTGGTTCATTGATAGAAGAAAAGAATATAGGTGTCAATGGACCAGTTTGGGTTGAAACAAATCTAAATTAAAACCAATTTGAACAGATTGAACAGTCAAAAATTGAATTGAATTGGACCAGTCTAAAATGGTCCAAAATATTCAATGGATTGGATAGGACCTGGTCCATCTGTAATGGACTCATAGGACCAAATCCGGTCCAATTGACTCTCTTAACCTTCCTTTCCCTGCCTTTTCTTTCAAACCAAACACAGCCTTATGTTTTGTGAAAATGGTATTCCATCCTGTCTGCTGTGAGAAACAGGCAAGTTAAGCATATTTATGTGGATGTAACATTATGGACATGGCAAAATCCCTGTCGTCACATGGCAAAGAAAAACTACTGACTTTTGGATGGTTTTTGGAACTTCACTGCTAAAAGAACAAATGGGAATAACCAATTTATCAAGGCATTGTCATATTTTTGTTGCACCTCTGTGTCAACAAACGAGGTAAAAGGATGAAACCTGTAGACATCTCCATTCAATATTGGAGTAACCATACTAACTAACTAAACTGTCCTGCATATTTTTGTTACATATTTTAAACTGCAGATTCTAAAAATTATACTCTAGGAAGTGCCCATGCAGTCTCCAGTGTTTTATCAAGTAAATATTGTGTTTGACACCAGAACACAGGACATGTATAGGTATAAAGTATCCAATGTTGGCCCCAGCTATTTGGGGTCTTGGGAGGAGTGCACTGGATACAGTCCTCTAGTAAAGATGAAGGTTATTATTATTGGCTAAGAACCTGATGGACATCAATGGGGGAAAACCTTCCATGCTGTTTTTCAGAGTTTTCAGAGTTTTGGTTGCTGGCTAACACTTTGTCCTCCAGTAAAGATGGAACCGATTTGTCATTATGTTCCCATTTGCAATATCAATCAGGAACTCTGCTGGTTTTCATAGCTATGAGAGGAGAGCAACCATTTGAGGAGAAATACTGCATAGCTTAAGATCCTTTTCCAAAGTACAATGTATTGCCTCTACCCAAGAGAATTAACTTATCGAATTTATTGAACAGTCTGCTTGATGGCTGATGAATTGTAGTCACTACTGTTTTGCCAGCCTATGACACCACATTATGAGTTTTAGCTATGATGCCTTTCTAAATTACAGAAAGTTAAACAATGCCATGTTTTTTTTTTTTACCTTGGCAATGCTTTGTAGCATTTGAATTATTCCAAGTGCTGTTGTTGAGTTCAGACTTAATGTTGGTTCATCTAAGAAAAGAAGTGATGGGTTAAGCAGGATTTCATTGCCAATACTTGACACAGCACATCTAAGAAAAGAAGTGATGGGTTAAGCTGCTCCAATTTCAAACGGAAAGTGAGAAGCCTCCTCAACCATTGGAAACAGGGTCAAGATATCTAGGAGCATGATATTCAAGTCTTGGACTTTCTTACCCAGCCGCACCACCTTTTTTATATGCCATTCCTCCAAATTTCCTTCAATCATCATCTTCGAGCACAGAGAGACACAGCATAGACCTTTTAGAGCATCAACCTGAACTTTCTCATCGCTTTTGGAAGCATCATTTCTAGCCTCTGTTTTGTTCTCTGAAACTGTGACTGGTTTAAGAGACTTTTCTTTCAGCCACCTTCGATGTTCAAGGTCATCCAAAGCTTCAACAAATCGCACCCAACCTTGTTTTTTCCTTTCCTTCTGGTATGCAGAAAATTTGTTTCTTTCCTCTTCTGGATGTTTCACACAATTGAACAAAAGCTCCTCTACTGTTTGATTTTCTCTCCACCGTAAAGTTCTTCCCTTGCATGCTCAACTCACCCTTCCAACTGGTTACTGTAACTCCAAAGAGAATGTCGTCGATAAAACCTTTCAACCACACTGTCGCCTCCGTGTTGAGAAACACCACATAGCGTTTGTTTTCCCTAATCTTAACCATTAAGCCTCCTGTTGCTTCACAATTTCTCAACATTTCTTGTAAAAAAGCAGAGTAAAACCATCAGGTCCCGGTACCTTGTCTCCCTCGCAACCCTTTATCACTTCCCACACTTCTTCTGTAAACGGCTTTTCCAAGTCTCTGGCTTGCTCTGCTGAGAGGGTTTCAAATTGCAATCCATCTAACATGGGTCTGAATCTCCATTCTTCCTTGTACAAATTTTTATAGTGCTTCCTTGTACAAATCTACCAGCTTCGCTATATGTGTTTTAATCTATCTTTCCTCTATTTCCACACCCTGAATTTCCTTTTTTTTTTTTGGTATTTTCTCTCCTTTTTGCACTAGCCATTTTATGGAAGAATTTCGTGTTGTTATCTCCATCTTGCAGCCACAAACACCTTGACCTCTGCCTCCATTTAATTTCCTCTTTGTAAGCTATTTTGTCAAACTCCCTTTTAACCATATGACCATATCCCTTCTTGCTCTTTTCTCTCTATCAATGCTTCCATTTTCCTCCTCTCTGTCAATTTCAGTGATTACCTCCAAACACTTGTTCTTTCTTTTCTCACTCTCCTTTAACACCTCTATACCCCACTCTTATTTTTTGTTTTAGTCCCTTTATCCTTTTGATGAAAATGTGACTTGTCATGCCTTCTAAAGATAAACTAGCCCACCACTCAGCCGCCAACTCCAGAAAGCCTGGCTCGTCAAACCAGGAGTTTTCAAATCTGAAAGGACAACCTCCCCTTATACCTCTACAGTCCAACATGACTGGTGCATGATCTGATACAGGTCTTGGTAGGGCCTCCAAAGACAGATCTGGGAAATGTTTCTCCCACTCTTTAGACACTACAATCTATCTAGTTTAAGTGTTTAACCAAGGTTGCTTCTTCCTAATTATTCGTCCAAGTATATCCCCCCCCCCTCCAAGCAAATGGTAAATCTACCAACTCCCACCTCCGCATGAACTCCGCAAAGCCCCTCAATTACTAGCCATTCTATTTTGCACCACTTGGGTCAGGATATAAAATCTATGAGGGTATGGTTTTGAAACTGTTGACTTTTCTGAAATAAAATGTTGAACTTTTGGTATTTGATTAATGGAACAAAATATAAGTCAACATAGAATGCCTAGAAGGCACAAAATTATAAAATGGAACTTACATAGTTCATCCAAATAGTTCTGATAAGGATTAGGAGCCAAAGACAAAGCAATAAGCTTTTCAGTCCAGAATGACCAAATAAAGCCAATGCCATAGAAGTATACTCATAGCACCACATGGACAATGAAATCTTAATCCACTAAAAGATAAAGCAATAAGCTTTTCAGTTCAGAATAAACAAATTGAAAGGCCAATGCCATAGAGCTATACTCATAGAACCACAGCTACAATGGCAAGAAATTTTCTATTGCGACTGAGCTGCTTTCCATTGTCTATCTGCTTCCACCATGTCAATCCATCATAGATACCATGGTCTTCGGCAAATGGAATTCCCTTCTTCCAATGGAAAGAGTGGATAACAACTAAAAGACAACAGCAATAGGCTATTTTCAGTACATGAAGCTTCACATAAGTTGCTTCAATAATTAGCTTTTCCAAGCAATTTATTAAAGAGCATAACATCCAACTCTATTATGTCATAGAAATTAAAATTTTAAAATTTTATATACAGGGAAGCATAAAGTGGATAACAACTAACAGACAACAGTAATATGCCAGTTTTAGTATATGAAGCTTCACACCCTGCTTAACCGCACATGCTAAGGTACCATGGTTCATGTTGAGAGAGCAAGACATCAAGATATTGAGACTGCCCTGACTGATGCACTGACAAAGGGGCTGAATGCTAATGATGCTTCCAATCGGGCACAGAAAGAGACGGCTAAGGCAGCAAAGTTGCCAATTCCAAAATGAAAATTTCTAAATTCTAATTTCTAATTGCAGTTGTTTTGAATGGGGTTTCAGGGTTTTGATTTCTAATTTCTAAGAGAACTTATAAAACAGAAATCCCTAATAATATTAAACTCTTGCAATCAAGAAAGTTAAAATCAACAAAGCATACCTTCAAGTCAACAGTTAACACCTTGTTCTTTGTTTGATGGTAATTGATGACAATATAACATACCTCCAAAACAGGAAATTGCTATTGTTCTTCTCCATCATTAACAAATTTTTCTTAAGAAGAAAAGAAACATGTGCATTGAAAATTGTTGTGGTAGACTCAAAAACAAGAGAGTAAAACTCGCTCTCTCTCTCTTTATTATAGGTTAATGGACAGGGGAGCAGAAAAAAAAAATCACTGCAATATATCAACTATGGCTGCATTTAGGTTCACATAAAATAAAGGAAAAAAGAGTGAATACCTTGGAAAATGATATTCAAGCATTGCCATGTATAAGACTGCACTAGTTGTTAACCTGCTCTTCAATTTCAGCTCATCTGTTCTTACATATATCAGACAATATAATTTTTCTGAAAGATATATCAGACAACAGAATTGGCCTTTACAAGAAAAAATAGAAATACATGAACTCACCAATAATCTTTACAGGAACAAATACCATCTTTATAATGGTGAAAACGAGTCCTATCTCTAACAACTATCTCCCTCTCAAACACCTTAGAAACCAACTTCATAAAAGTGTGGCAATCCTCACAAACCCTAAGATTCTTGACTATGCGAATACAAGAGCCTTTACCAGCATTCATCAGCCCAAAGCAAAGGGCCAATTTCTCACTGTGCCATAAAACAACCTCCTTTTTCTCTTCCTCTTCTAGATCAACCAATACACTACCAGTATCTGGGGCATAACCAATCAGCTTCAATTCACCAATAACCTCATCTAACTTTTCATATATCTCGTCAGCTAGTTTGTGGTTCCTATCAGCCATAACAAATTCATGTATCTCGTTGTTCACTTCAATCTTACTACATCCTCTCTCTTTGTTGACCCCTCTATGCTTCATCAATTTCCTCACCCCCACAACATCATCCCATCTCTTCGCCTTAGCATAGATGTTTGACAGGAGAACATGTGCACCATCATGATCTGGGTCTAGCTCAAGGAGCCTCTTCGCTGCAAATTCCCCCAACTCAACCTCACCATGTAATCTACAAGCGGCTAGGAGTGATCCCCAAACGACAACATTAGGAGGAATGGGCATTGTCTCTATAAGCTCAAGTGCTTCTCTGAGGAGGTTGGCACGACCAAAGAGGTCTACCATGCACCCATAGTGCTCATGCTTGGGCATGATATTGTGTTCATTGATCATGGAAGAGAAAATTTGATGGCCCTTCTCAACCAACCCTGCATGGCTGCAAGCATAAAGCACACCTACAAAGGTCACTCCATTGGGCTCAACTCCTTTGGCTTTCATCTGATCAAAGAGCCATAATGCATCATTAGCATTCCCATGCATTGCATATGCAGTTATGATGCTAGTCCAAGATATAACGTTCCTTTTATGCATCTTATCAAAAACACTCCTTGCACCCACCAAACTTCCACATTTGGCATACATGTCAATAAGGGCATTGTTTACAGACAAAATGTCCCCAAACCCATTCTTGTCAATGAAGATATGGATCCATTTTGCTTGATCCAGCATACCAAGATGTGCACAAGCTGAGATAACACTCAACATAGTGACCTGATCAGGTTTTACACCTGAGACTTGCATTTCTTTGAATAGCTTAAGAGCTTCCTGGGGACAATCGCTCTCAGCATAGCCAGAGATCATTGCACTCCAAGAAACCAAGTCCTTTTCCACCATTTGGTTGAAAATGGAGCGAGCAGCTTCAATATTGCCAAGTTTTGAATACCCAGAAACCATGGATGTTGATGCAACCAAATTCTTTGGTGACATCTTATCAAACAAATATCTTGCTGCGTCCATGGAACCACAGTTTGTGTACATGGTGATAAGAGCACTCTGCAAGTGAGAATCGAGGGAGAAATTCTTCTCAGATATGTAATCATGGATTGCTTTTCCATAATCTAGATTTCCAGCGCGGCCACAGGCAGAAAGCATTGTAGCAAGAACCATCTCATCTGGCTCTACACCAGAGTTCTTCATTTCTTCAAACAGCAGCAACGCATCTTCATAAAGTCTACTCTGACAATAACTGTTTATGTAACTACAGGTGAGAATTCTTATTTTGTAAATACCCATACATATGAGAATACACATGTTATGGGACACCTGTCACAGACTGAATGAGAGTACAAAGGAAAAGTGTATGAGATTCGGAACCTAATGGGGGTATAGAGCTCCATTCCATTGTAACAAGACATTGAATTAAACCATTAAAAACCATATAACTTCAAATGGTATAACAATAATATGAACGAGGAAAAGAAAAACAGTTATGGCCATACCCGTCAATCATCACGCTCCAAGTAACGATATCCCTGTGCAACATTTTGTCGAACAAGAACCGCGCTTCGAATATCCGACCACAGGCAGAATAAACCCTAACCAAACCCGTTTGGACAAATGGGTCCGAATCGAACCCCAGTTTTGAAGCAAGCCCGTGAATCTCCATTCCTTCACTCAATGTAGCCACTCTAGCTGATGCCTTCAAAAGTGGCGGGAAACTAAACCTGTCAACCCCAATCCCTTCTCTCCTCATCTTCTCATACACGAAAAGCGTCTTGTCAGGTTCATAACTCCTCGAAAATTCTCTCAGAATTCGATTGCAGATGTGTGTCTCAGGATCTGCAATCTGGTTAAAGACGAGGAGAGCGTAGTCGAGGCTGGGCGAGAGAGCACAAGAGGAAATAACGAGCTTGAGGAGTAGAGAGGTTGAACGGTCGAGTCCTGACCGGAGAATTTGAGCATGGATTTGTTTGAGTTGAGCGATGGTGGTGGCAGATGTGAGGGCGGAGAAGAGGTGATGGTGTTGGTGATGAAGATTGTTGAGTTTGGGTGGTTGGCGGGAAGGGAAGGCTAGGAGCGTTTGATTGATGGTTGCCGTAGCCATTGCATACCGGTGGATATCTTCGAATGAAAATTACTGTTAAATAGCATTAGAGTAGGTTGAGTTTTGCTACGTTCAGGGTCCGCAAGGCTGTGTTGAGGCTCCTAATAGTATCCGTTTATCCGAATTCGAATTCGATCCGGTAATAAATGGATCGAATTTATCCACTCTACCTGATCGGATCAGATATTAGTCGATCCGGTTTGGAATAAATGTACGAGCTTCTACATATTATCCTCTAATGTATATCATCTCGTGTAACTATGTTTGCTCTCATTGAAACACGCGTGTATATAAGTGAAGAGTCAACAGAGCAAATTAGAGCAATATGGATTTTCCATGGCCCCTTCGTCCAACAGCACCACCATTGTTATTGCCTTCCATAATAAAAAATCAATCAAAATCCATCCAGTCTCAATAATGTATAACCCACCAACTTATTGTCAAACTCAACTCAATTGATGCCTACTTTTTATCATTCACCAACTTTTCGGATGTGTCCATGGAATAGACAAATGTCTAGAGTGATCCATCTCCACGGGTACAACTAGTAGAGTCAAAATCAAATTGGGATCTGCTACTCACACAGGGCGCCTCACACCGATGTTACATGCATCTCACCATGCATTGGGAACATTTTCCATGAATAATAACATATAAGTACGAGAGATGTTCCCAATGCATGGTGGGATGTATCTGTGAAGTCGGAATGAGGCACCCGTGTGAAGAATAGATCTGAATATCTAATCTCAAAATTGAGCGCCTCCTCCAATGGTTCCACCATCAATCCAATTTGCATTGGCACCCCATAGAACTCACCCCACATGTGTCCCATTGGGCATATCAATCGTGTATTGGAAACATCTCCCCCTAAAAAGTATGGGAGATGTTTCTAATACATGGTGAGATGTGCATGTGAGGTACCAATCTGAACTCCCATCAATCCCAACTACATCACATGGAATAAATATTATCAATTGGAATCTTTTGATCCCAGGGGCAAACAATAATAAGTTATTTACCTTTTAGTTGCACATGTGTAGCCGTTACATTATTGAATTGGGATCTACTCCTCACACCGACCTTATAGTTATATCCCTGTGTATTGGGAATAGACTTGTTCACAGGTCGGGTTTTGAGTTTAGCTTTCCATTGTGTTGGCTTTGGTTTCAAGCCAAGCTCATTCAAACTTTAACAAAAACCAAGCCCAAGCCCCGCCCATGAACAAGTCTAATTGAAAATATCTCATCATGAATAATAAACATAAGTATGGAAGATGTCGATATGTGACCAGAACATGCTAGGAGGTCGGTGTGAGGAGGGCTTTGGGAGGAGCAGATCCATGCTCTACACTATCAATCTAAATACATTAAGTTGGAATGTATATGAAAGAAGGCAATAAATGGAATCTAACGATAAATTTTGCATAGTTTTCTTACAAATTACAATAATGCCACTCTCTCATACCAACTTTCTATCTCTCTCTTGCTTTATTTTCTTTCAGATTACAAGAATGCCACTCTCTCTTACAAATTACAAAAATGCCACTCTATCTCCTACCAACTCTCTCTTTGTTTCCTTACAAATTACAAGAATGCCTCTCTCTCTCTCTCTCTCTCTCTCTCTCTCTCTCTCTCTCTTCTTATAAATTACATGAATGCCACACTCTCTTCAAATGAGGGAGACCTCAGCTCGGCATCTCGACTGCTAGGGGACCTGCAATCAAAGGTAGTCAAGTCGAGCCGAGTTCAAGTTCAAGTCTCTAATTTGAATCAAGCTCGAGCTAGACGACACCTTGGCCACTGAGGGAAACCTTAGCTCAACACCTCGACAACTGAGGGATACCTCAGTTCGGCACCTCGTCAACTAAGGGAGACCTTGGCTCAACACCTCAACTACTAGGGAGACCTGCAATCAAAGGTCTCATGGGCCTAATCGAGTGTGTACATAAGGCATCACCTTGGCTCAACACCTCAATCACTAAGGGAGATCTCGGCTCAGCACCTCGACAACTGAGGACACCTTAACTCGACACCTTATCAACTAAGGGAGACTTCAGCTCGACACCTCGCTTGCTAGGGAAACCTCAACTCGACACTTCAGCAACTGAGGGAGACCTCGGTTTGGCACCTCAACAATTGAGGGATACCTCAGCTGCTAGGGAGACCTCGACTCGGCATCTCAATTGCTAGAGAGGCCTGCAATCAAAGGTATCCGAGCTCGAACTTCCAAGTTTTTGACTCGAGTTGAGCTCGAACTCAAGCTCAAGTCTCTAATTCGAATCGAGCTAGAACTTGATAGTTTATGAGCGAGCCCTTGCAACGAAGGGCCCCTCCACTAGTTAGGCTATTAAGAAAAAGAAAAGCATTTTCTTCACGGAGACGTGTCTATGAGGTCGGGGTGAAGAGGGCTATGTGAGGAGCAGATACCAATAATAATTTTCTTCACCCGAAACGACCCGGAGTCATATACGGGTTCGGTGTAGTCTTCAATCCGCAACTGACTCGGGTTGCACAACGCTGTCATTAATGATTGATCCGTTCCATTATCCATCCCCATCTCCGAAGCTTCCAAGTTCCACCTCACTCCCGGTTTCCCACTCTTCCCTCCTATTCCTACAAAAGACTGAAAACAAACTTGCAGGCACTGGCACACTCGGGTTCTGCAGAAGAACGATGGGAGATGCATTGTTGGAACTTGAGCAAGTTCTCAGATCAAGCAAGGTATTTCTGACGACGATCAAAGAGCATAGAAAACCGAAGAAACTGAATTCTTATCTATTTCTTCATTACCACCCCCTCAAAAAAAAAAAAAAAAAAAAGAAAAAAGAAGAAGAAGAAGAAGAAGTCTATTCGTTTCTTTTTCATATTCTCAATATTCTTTTGATTTTTATCCCTTGTCTCAGATTTTCCTGTAGTTGCTTTCGTCAAACCCTAATTTCATGAATGCTATTAGTTAAATTTGTCTTATATATTTTGTCATGACATTCCAGACATAACATCATCTATCTAGCTCCCTACTTTGGTTTTCTATAAGAAGCTAAATGTCGAAACGAACATTGAACATTCTCTGTATTTGTTTTCTAATTCGTATTTGCAATGCTTTCTTCTTCTAAGTCGCAGCAAATGTTTAGGTTAGTGAAAATGTATGCGGTTTGCCCAATGTTATTTGGGGTTTGATCACTTTAGTTACTTCTGTTGGTCAAGGATCAGAAAATTCATTGGTAGTTGTTGCCTTTTGACTGTTACTTGGAATGTTGACTCTTTGTGCCCCGCAGCATAAATTAACAGACGAAGAAGTGAATGTTCTTCGAGTATGCAGGGGGAAGGCATCTAGAGATTTTACCATAACAGCTTGCATTTCATCTGGGGTTGTATGGACAGGTAATCTTTTTCTCCGACCATTGTTTCCAACATAAATAAGAATGTACAATCTTTTACTGGTGCGTGTGCATCCCACATAATGTTGTCGATGAAACATTATCGAACCCTTAAGTGGACAGTGTTCTGGAATATATTTTTTGATCAATAACTGGAATTCATTAGATTAAAAGAATTTAGTTACAACACTCCAAATAGAGATAAACAGGTTTAACTCTCTCCAGGAAGATAACAAAAAAAGAAAAAGTTACAGAACAGTCTAAAACATTTGATCCCTTCCCACCCCTTGCTTTGCTAAAGCATCAACAAATGCATTTGCTGTTCTCTTGACCCACTGAAACTTGATTTCCAATCCTCTAGTTAGCCACTTAATCTCCCTCCTCTCATTAGCATATTTCCAAAGTCCACTACCTTCTTGTAACCAACTTAAGACTAGCTTTGAGTCCCCTTCAATGACTAACTTTTGTATATTCAATTCCTTAGACTTCCTTATACCCTCCAGTACTGCATAGACCTCAGCTTTGAGAAAGTCTCCAAACCCAATGGAACCTGAAAACAAAGCGAGCACCTTTCCATCCACATCTCTGAAAACCCCTCCTACACCTGATGGACTTGGATTTCCCTCACTACTTCCATCAAAGTTTAGCTTTATAAGTCCACTTCCTGGTGGTGACCACACATGACAAACTAATGAGCGAGTAGGAGTAGAATTTGCCACCTCTAGCCAACTATTCAACAACATATTTGTAGAAATATCAACAAACAGGTCCAAGGATTTCAGCCAATGTACCACCCTCATTGTTACTACTTCAATAAGGCATTCACCATTAGCAAAGGGGCAAGAAACTAATAAGTGGTAGGAGCTTTCACCATTAGCCTTGCAAAGAATGCACCAATTCGGAGACAAACACTAAAAAGGCTTCCCAACTCTTTGGAGTACGTCGCAAGTATTACATCTTCCGAGGAAGGCTTCCCAACAAAAAGCTCGAATCCTTGGAGGAATCAACTCACCCCAAACATCCTTAATTGGAAAGTTTTGTGCAAATGGATTGGATGAAGGCAGTAGGGACTTGAAGAAAGAGGCACAAGAGAAGGTTCCAGAGGGAGTTGGGGTCCACAGTCTCTTATCCCTCTCAAAGGGATCCAACACCACCCAGTCTAAGATTTGAACTAGACTCATAACATTTTCAACCTCTACATCCCTTAAGCCTCTTTTAAGCCCTAGATTCCGATAAAACCCAAATTTAGACTGAGAAGGAACTAGAAAATTGGACACAACCTTGCCCTTAAATCGGGAGAGTGAAAACAAGGAAGGGAATTGGTCTTTCAAAGGTATCTCACCCACCCAAATGTGCTCCCAAAACTTTACCTGATTCCCAAAGCAGAGGTCATACCTGATGTGCTGCAAAAAGGAAGGAAGAGTGGCATGTATAGATTTTTAAGGAGAGGCACCAACAAACCTTGCCAAAGTCCCAGTGTCCCAGCCATCATCTGCTTGACCATGAATACTTAAAATTACCCTCGTCCACAGTTTATCTCTCTCACCTCCCAACTCCACAACCATTTCCCCAACAAGGCTTCATTTTTCCTTCGAATGTTACCTAAACCTAACCCTCCATCAGCTCTACTCCTAGAGACTAGTTCCCAATTCACCCTACGATCCTTCCTCTCATCCCTTGGTTCCCACAAGAAGTCTCTCATCAACTTTTTTTTTGATAAATAAATGAACTTTTTATTAATTTGGAAATATTAGCACATACAAGCAGCCCTTGGGGAGGCGCGAGCTGCAACCTCTCCACTAAAGAAGAAAACAAAAGTAATAAGTTACAGTTGTGCCTAATACAGAACTTCCCTAGCTGCCCCTTGCTTGGCTAGATAGTCTGTCATAGCATTTGCTGATCTCCCCACCCATTGTATTCTTAGGTCCATGTTTCTTGTCAGCACCTTAAACTTTTTAATTTCATTCTTGAAGTTCCAAACTACTGACTTTGGGTCCTGCAACCAGCTTATTACAACCTTTGAGTCACCTTCAACTATTAGCTGGTTCACCCCTAATTGAGCTGTAAACTATACACCTTGCAAGGCAGCAAACATTTATGCTCTAGTAGAGTCTCCCACTCCTAAAGGACCTGAGAAGATAAGTATCACATTCCCGACTTCATTCCTTAATACCCCACTTCATTCCTTAATACCCCACTTCATTCCTTATGTCTTTCCTTATACTCCTTTCATACACTTTCCTTCTTTGTTGTTGTTATTTCCTTTTTTATCTTCTCCTTGTCTCATTTTAATCATATGTGAGGGAGACAACCATCTACAACCTTGTTCATGAAACTTGGCTGTAATGGTTGATTATGGTTCTTCACAACCTATTAACCTATGTGTGAGGGGGAAAACCACCATATACAACCTTATTCATAAAACTTGGTTGGTTATGGTTCCTCACATCATGATAAATGCACATAATTACAATTTAAAGGCCATTTGCAGCCTTATTGATGAAATGTGACTATTTATGATACCTATTTACTTGTTATGTATAAAAAGTTTATTTATTTTCTGGTTTTCTCTCAAACAAAGAGGGAATATATAACAGAAATTTCAAAGGAAAATTCTGTAGAAAAATGATACTTAGTTTAGTCTCTATTCATTGGTACTTTTGAATTTCTATGCCCTAGCAAAGATGTAATTAAGGGAATATCTACGTGATTTCTTGATTGGGGCTTACCCAAATAATAAAGAAACCCAATTATTAGTATAATTGGGTGAATTATGTTATGTGAGAAATTATACTAAAAAGAATTTCCACTTAAAATTATTAAACGTATTTATTTATTTATTATAATCGGGCCCATCGGGTTAGACCCGATTGTCTTGAGAACTGATCGGTTTGGTTCTGGGTCTAAAATTTACAGACCCTATCAGGTCCGGTTTGGTTCCGGGTCCTCAATATTTCATGTGGGATTGGTTCTGGTTCTACCTGGTCCGAGCCCAGACCCTACCTGTTGACAACCCTACTTCCATTCTTAGCTAGTTATTTGACAATTCATGTTGGTTGTCATGTTGGATTACTTTGGTAGGCGGTAGGCCCCAAGTGTTTAGAAATTTTGTTTAGATATGTATTGTGGTAGATGAGTACTGTCAATCGGAGTGTTTGAAGCGTTTGAAGGGGAAGACTAATATGTTTTGAGTAAGGGAGGTTTTCTGTGCTTTTGCTTTTGTCTATCGGAGTGTTTGTTTGCTCGTTTCCTTTTACGGATGTGTGAGTTGGTTGTTGTTGGTCGGTTGCTTTCTTCTCTCAAGTGATTTCTTTTCATCTTCCTATTGTACCCTCTTTTTATTGTTTGAATTTATCTTTATTTTTCAAAAAAAATGAATACTTTTTGTTGAGATTGGGCTGATATCTTTTGTATTTTGTTTATAAAGTTTAGTTAGAGTTATTGGGCCCAAGGCCCATTAGTTTATGTTTTGTTAGGAATGCTTCTTATGTTCTTTAGTAGTAGCTGACTTACTAAGGGTATACTTGTCATTATATGACTGTATCCGATATGTCCCATCCAGTATTTCAGACATATCGATTTTCAGAACCTTGGATACAAGTATTGCTCGAAAAAATGGTATATACTTATTTATAGAAAAATAATTGTATCCATGTCCCTAATTCTTGGAAAATGAAGAGGTACCAATAAAAAATGGAAAATGAAGAGTTGTTAAGAAAAAACATTTTCTTTATTAGTATTGCTTGAAATAGAACTTTTAAGGCTCATGACTGATCCATTAAACCATTTGATAACAAGTGCCATGTGTTTCTGTGGAGTTGTGACTTGTATGTGTTGATTGTTATGCGTGGTCTTATTTATTATTTACAAGTAGCATTTTTTGTTTCTCTTTTACTCAATTTTTTTCCTGCAAAACCTTTTCTTACTCCATTTCTTCCTGGCAGTGACTCAGAGGTTGCGCTATGCATTACGCATCAACCTTTCAGCAGGTAAATAATAACCAATGATTTTTCCTTTGTTCCTCTTTTTTTACTGGATAGAAAAGTAGGTTAGAATATACCTTTAACTGCTTTCTGTTACAGTTCACGCATAGATTTATAGCAGGTACCTTTCATGTGTATTACACAGATGATGCTAATAAATGTACTCAGAAATTTGGAATTCTTTCTCATGGAATGCATTTGGTGATTAAACCAGATTTAGTTCAGTGAGGCAATTGGATTACTAACATAACCCTGTGAGAAGTGTAGCCCTTCTGTTGTGTAGGAGGATAGTGGGGGACTTGATATTCTTTCTTCCTACAACTGTTTTCATAGCTGGAGATGGAATACTTTGTTATTATTATATGATTTAAGAGAACATCCCATCCTAACTGGAGGCACACATATCCTAATTTTGAAACCTAGTCCTGCTTTCCATGCTGGAAGATCTTGGTCAAACCATACTGATCATCCTGGTGTTTGATAAAAACTATTTGGTATTGACGAGAAAATGTTTTATTATCAAAACTATTGTGCTTATTGATTATTATTATTTTTTATTTTTACAGATACTACTTCAATTGGCATGGCTAACTCAAACAATTTGCAGGAGCTGCTATTCTGTCTGGACTTTGGAGATTTGATAGGTCCCTTGATTCATGCTTAGATCATATTCTTGCTCTGCAGGGAAGTAGGATGCAGAAGGAGTTAGCAAACATGTAACCTTTTGATCTTAAAGTTCCAATTCATCATGAAATACTCCTATCTGTGGAATGTTGCTTTAGTAGTTGACATTATATGTTTATTCATTTTTCTTTCTATATTTTCTCTAAAATTTATCACCATGTAAGTAGGACATGTAGTCATCAATATGGACAATTGTTACCAAAACACAAAATAACACAAAAACTTGGTATTTATAATCTGACTCTTAAATGACTTTGATTCAGCATTTTGTAGCCAATAAAAATAAAAAAATACTTTGAAAGATAGATACCAGTTTAATACAGTTTCAGGTCAAAATACGTGGTCAATAAAATATAGTCACTGATTGGGTTAAGTAGGGAGCTTCACTGCATGACTCTCATATTTTTGCCATGTGGAGACATGATGTATCCAAATAGGGGATCCCTTGGATTGGCTGTGTATTCAATCCTTTAGTTCACACCCACACTGTAACCCACCTATTATTAGTGTTTCCACAAACAACATTGATCGTTGAAAGTTCCAATATTTTAATATTAAATTTGTCCAAAGTGTGACAGATATATTTTTTCTTTTTTCTTTTCTTTTTTGGCTCAAATTGTCTCATCAATAGAGGATAATGAGATGAATGCATGGGGCCATTGTGGACCACTGTTACACAGAGGCATTTAAAGTGAGGATTCATAATTTTGGAGAGTGAACATGACAGGCATTTTAGTAAATCTGCTTGATTCGCACTGTAGCTGAGTCCAATCAGTATTTGGAGAGTCAGACTTACTTGATAGTCCCCTCCATAGGTCAGGTGTCCATGCAATCTGTATATATACTAAAACAATGATGTAGTGATGTACATCTCAGCACCTCCATCCCGCCTCCCCCCTTCTAAATTTTCTAATTATTTTATTTTTTTTTCCGTAAATATAATTCGACAATCAATTGCATCTTTTCAATTTTTGAGACATATTCAAGAAGACACACCTTTGATTATCCTTGCTTCCATTTAGTAGAGAAGAGAAGGGCACAGAAAAAGACTCAAAACATAACATGCTAGTCCTCTCTCCTCCATAACTAACATCCCCATCTCATCAACTTCTCAGAAGTCTAGGAAATCCTCCTCAAACCCTAATTCTTTCCTCTGCAAGCATTCATTCTATGTACCTAGACATTATCATCCTCACTCACATGGTCTTTTCATGTGCTTTCCTTGTAACCTCTTTCCTCTCTTACATCTTCCAAGCCCTCTCTCAAATTCTCCCTCTCTATTTGTCTCTCAATTTGCTTCCTTTCAAGAGTTTCTGTTGACTTACTTTCTAATGTTTCTATTCTTCTTTACTGTGTTAGTGGCTGCTGTTGAGATCTACTATGGAGAGAGAGAGAGAGAGAGAGAGGTATTGAATTCCCAAAATCAATACCTCCTCTTCTGGCTTCCTTTCCTTATTTATAACACTTTCGTTACAATTCTGTTATATCAGCCTCTCCACTTGTCCAGTTTGTTATTTAGTTTGTTCTAGTGGTTGGCTGTCAGTTACATTACTTAAAGG